CTCGACCATGGTACCCTTACTCTGCTATCGCAATATCCAAGTGGGCACTAAATTTTCAAAATGTGTGGAAATCTTTTATCGTGCCAACTGATTCATTCTTCGTTCTTGCCATTTGGTTTCCTCTATCCTAGTGCAGCCGATTCATGAATCTATTGTTAGAGTGCAAACTAGGACCTACACTCCTACATTTGCAATTAATCTATTGGTTAAATTGATGTTTCTCCACGCATCTCCTATTATTATTATAATACATTATACCAGATATTATTAGTGACGCATCATCCAATAGATCGTCAATACTGACATGGCCAGCGTCATGGGCAACGAGTGAACTTGTGCTGGTGACGATCCCGAAATTATCACGGGCGTCGGCGCCTCGGTGGCCGCATCCAACCCAAAACTGAACCTCCCATTGCACTCACCCGCACAATTGAATTGCGTACACGGCCCAAAAATACGCTGATCGCAATCGTAGGCAAAACCAATCCGCGACCCCTGCGGACATACAAAGCAATTGCAATCCATTGGTTGGGTGGTTCCTACTAGACTTGCGTGACATTCGCAACGTCCCTTTTGGGAAGCGTCAATGAAATTGGATTTGCTCACAGAGTTGAGTGGGCAAAAGAGTTCTGCTTCCAAATCGACTTCTTGGCCGTCGAAATTGAAGAGTGTGCTAGCTGGGCAAATGTTCCAAGCGCCCCAAATTTCGCATCCCGAGCCTGTCGTAGTCATGGTAGTGTCTTGTTGTGTTGTGTCTGTTTATGATTCGATACTTTTGTAAATGTCAATGGGCAGTGGTCTTTGTTGCTCTACTGTGGTCGTTGGAAAGTGTTGTTTGCTGGAAAGTCTTCTTGGATTTAACTTCCGATTGTATGAGTAGGTCTTCACACAGGTAATCTAACGGCGTCGTATTATATATATTGGGAGTCGTCGACAATGAGGGTAGAAGAAAGAATGAACTCTTGTGGGCTCTTTTCCGTTGTAGCAAGCAGAAAAAAGGGACAAGTGATCAATCAAGTATCAAAGCAGTAGCAAGGATAGTGAGTATCCGCTGAGTGTGTGATCGTGACGAAGGCTCTTAGTCTTGTTCTTGCGGTTGCAAATTTGCACGATTCTTCTTTTCCGCCAAAATGACCTTTTTCCCCTGCTCTGGGGTGATCAAAATGACGGTTTCAAAACGAGAAATCTTTCACGCTTGAGCAGGAATGGTCCTGTTATGAATGACCGCACCTCCCGCGAAAAACTAGCGGGCGATGGCAGACTTCAATGGGAACCCTTTGGCAGTACCACTTCATACCGGTACCGGTAGATAGACAGAGGTTCGGTACCTGGTACAAGGAGAGATCCATTGACCATGCTTGGAAGCCTCCCAACAATGTTATATATGATAACGTGCCGCATGACTTTCGCGTTATTTCTTACTGCAACGATAGAAACTTGGTCTGGTTCTTGCAACCATCAAGGTTTCATTCATTCACCATATACCATAATTCACTATTTTCATGTCAATCTTTTTCTTTTAAAAGCAGATAGTTATGTTTATTGATACTAGACACTACCAGATTTACTTTTCTTCCAGTTGAATTGACTTTCCAAATCGTGCATACAGAGCTTTTTTCAAATCCGCCTGAAGTCCTAATATTTCACCTTCTTCGTTTTCCAAAGATTCCAATTGTCCTTGCATTCGTTCCACTTCTTCTTCACAGAATTCAGTGGCGTCTTCTTCCGTAGTATCAAAAAAGGATTCCCCAATCAACAATAGAACGGGATCTCCCGAGGCCATCATGAGTTCGGTAGCGGCATCGTCCAAGCGTTCCAAGGATTTCTGTACAAATATTGAATAATAAATTATTGAAGAAGGCAAAAAAGAAAGAGTCAGAAGGATGCTTCAAAATAAGAAAAAAATCGAAATAGGAGTCATGATTGGGACTGAAGGTGTGCTGCTGTTGGCTTCTTGCTTCTTGGGTACTTTTCCAATCTATCCATGTTGAATCACAATACTCTACTGCTCTCATTTTCTTGTATCCACAATCCAACAACAAGCGCGTCTTGGTCCGGATACAGAGAGAAGACCATTATTGAAGCCAATATAAAAGTCTGCCTCAATTACATATCGTCCATAATGTGATCATCCCATGCACCATGGACGAATGGATGGACCGATGGACGAATGGATGGATGGCTCCTTATTGAATTGATTCATTGATTGATTGATTCACCACAGCACAACTTCAACAACTTCCCAACAGTTTCCTGCGACCGACAAGTCTCTCTTTCTACATCCACATACCTTGATCATTGCACGTTCGTCCCTTACGTCATGAAGTCTTGCATTGAGACGAGCAAATTTGTTAATGTTGTCCTGATCTTCGCGACGCACTTCAGCCTCGCTTTCTTCTTCTGCCGGTCGGACCATCATCTTGGAAAATTAGGTAATCGTTGATTGAGTAATGAAGAGTGTGGCTTTGCAAAGACGTGATTTTAAAAATATCAAAATATTGATACAACTTGTGTGTTGAATGGCGGTGTTGGCTCATCACGCCATCGTGGTTGGAGTTAGTTTCCCGTCCGACATGCATTGCGACCACTTTGATTCTTGGGACTTGGTTAGCTCTCTTGCGTACAAAAGGTACTATGGCGCGTGCAAAAAATTTCCGATTGCGCGATATCATTGCGCAGTCAACACTCGAGGCAGGCTTGTTCGGCAAACCATACTTCAAACATCGACGACGTCTCTGTCAACGGCTTCCAAGCATCTGTCGAAAAAGAATAAGCTGTCTATTTGTTACAAAAATTACATCGGTGTATCCAGCGTAGTCTCATTGGTAAGTGACTGACTTTTCTCATCTTTTGGCATGCTGTAACACTCGCATTCGGTCGTCGTTGCAAGACCCCAAAAGAGTCTTTCGGTTGCGAAGCGAGATTTCGTGCAATTTGAGTCCTGCTCGTGATTGAAATCCTCCAATCAGATTGCGGCAAGCGCAGAAATCGCGCATATCTGCTTCTCTTTGGTTTTCACGACTCTCGTATCTCGTTGTCGTTGGTACGACAAACGGGGATGGCATTTTCCGTTCCCTTCAATAATAACCTCGTCATAGTTGCGTGCTGTTTTTGAATCTGTCGCTTTTGTTGACAGCAGCAGAACTCACAATCCATTGCTCACCACACAAACTCTATCACCATAATCATCATCATTGCAGAGTCACTAAAAGAAGAAGAAGAAGATGGAGACGCCAGCGCATGATCCCGCCTCCACAAATGGCGCCACCAACAAGGATGATTCCGCCAATGGAGAGAATGGGAACAATGTCGTTTTTGCTTCACTATCAACTGGAAAACCTCCCCTTGGACGACATGCCTCTAGTGGAGACCAACCAATAACATTGGGTACACGCCAAGACTCTGTGGGCGTTCTTCCAGACGCTAGCGGTCCAAATCCTGCAGCTGCTGAAAATCCTGTCAGGGCACCCGCTCCCGCTGTCGCTTTGGGTGGTGGAGTACCAACACCGGCTGCTCTTGCGACTGTGTCTACTGTGAAACCACCGTCCCCAAAGACACTGGCAGCGAATGGGCCACCGCCAGATGTTTCCAGGAATGCTCCTCCTCCTGTCGTGGAAACTACAAAAGTTCCTGATCCACCCTTGCAACCAACACCCAAACCAGAACTTGCGCCCATGAACGAAGCACCGGCACCAGCGCCATCTGTAGCGGCACCAGCACCGGCACCACCGGAATCACCATCTTCTCCATCTCCTGCTAGTGGAGAAGACGATCAAGATGGTGATGTCAGCATGGACGATGCGGATGAAGCCACTTCGGAGGAATCCGAAGAAGCCAATGCACCAGTTGCTGCAGCACCTCAAGAGAAACCAAAAGCAGCGACGGCTCCAGCAGCAGCTGCTCAACCCAAACCAGCGGCCTGGCCACCACAGCCCGCACCTGGTTACGAAGCTCGTGGAGGAACGGAAATGAAGGAACTCAAGGTTGAAGATGCTCTCTTGTACTTGGATGATGTCAAGAAGGAATTTGGTCATAGACCTCGGGTCTACAATGAATTCTTGGCAATCATGAAGAACTTTAAGAGTCAAGAAGTTGACACTCCAGGAGTGATTGAAAAGGTGTCCAAGCTTTTTCGAGGGTACAACAATTTGATTTTGGGCTTTAACAAGTTTCTACCCAATGGATACAAGATTACTACAGAAGACTTGAAGAATCAAGATGCCAAGTATGCTCGAGAACAACAACAACAGCAGCAACAAGAGGCTCTCCGTCAGCATCAACTACAACAGCTGCAGCAGCACCAGAAACAGCAACAGCAACAGCAACAGCAACCAGTGCCGATGGAAATGCAAAGCCAGCAACAGTCCTTGTCGGCCCGATCGCCTCAAGCAGGAATTCCTGCAGCCGCCGCGGCTAATGCTCGGCCAGCATATCAAGGCCATGACCCTCGAGTGCTGCCATCGGCACGAATAATTCCAAACCCACCACAACGTCCTCCTGCTCAAGCTCGTCCAGCAGCACAACCCCAACATCAACGCCCAGCCCAACAGCAGCAGCAGCAGCAGCAGCAGCAACCTCCACAACAACCAAAGGCCCAGCCACAACCACAGCAGCAACAGCAACAGCAAGGAGGACAAGGCCACCAAGCTGTGGAATTCGATCATGCCATTTCCTACGTCACCACCATCAAGCGTCGATTTGCCAATGATCCAAGCACCTATCACTCCTTTTTGGAGATTCTTCATACATACCAAAAGGAACAGAGAGGTATCAAGGAAGTCCTGGAGCAAGTTGCCCGTCTATTTCAAGACCACCCCGATCTTTTGCGAGAATTCACTTTTTTCTTGCCAGATGCTGTTCAAGAACAAGCCAAGGAACGACTCCAACGTGCTGCTGCCGATTCGGAGGCTCGTCAAGCTGCTGCCCAACGAGCCGCCATGCAAAACTCTTCCATGGATGTGGACAGTAGCAGCAAGAGTGGTGGTGGTGATGGTGGTGGTGCGTCCACAAAGTTTATTGACATGACTGGTCAAAATGGTGGAAACTCGGACGCTCGGAGTCGCAAAAGAAGTCAGAGTGAAATGGCCACGGATGCTCCCGTCACTGTCGCGGCGCCTCAAGCTCCAGAGACCTATGTCTACAACTCGGCGGTAGAACGTCAGTTCTTTGATGCCGCAAGGGAGGCTCTGGCATCCTACACGAGAGATGGTGGTCAAGCCTGGGCTGAATTTCTCAAGTGTCTAGACATGTACGCCCAAGAGATACTTTCCAGGAATGAGATGCTCAATTTTGTTGAGCCCTTGTTGGGCAAGCGCAATACCAAGCTATTTGAAGAATTCAAGCGCATTTTGAATGCTGCAGGATCGGCTTCTGGCCAATTTCCATCCTTTGAGGATTCCTGGCATTCGGTGCCACTCTCGGAAATCGACTTTTCCAGGTGTCGCCACTGTACCCCTTCCTATCGTGCCTTGCCACGGGATTATCCTGCACCACCATGCAGTGGACGCAGTGACGAAGAATCCAAGAATCTCAATAATGTATGGGTGTCCTTGCCTGTTGGTAGCGAGGAATCCTACACTTTCCGGCACATGCGGCGGAATGCTTGTGAGGAGGTTCTCTTCCGATGTGAGGATGAACGTTTTGAAATTGATATGGTGATTGACAGCAATGCTTGTACTCTGGCACGGCTAGAACCCATCGCCGAGGAGATTGCCCAATTGGCCGAGAATGAATTGATCATTTCAGAATCGAGCACGATTCCTCGTCCGGCAGCTGGGGAACAAGGAATGGGCGGAAAGCGCTACCAGTTTACGTTTGACCAGTCAATTTTGGGAGTCATTCATCGCAATTCTATTTCCCGCATCTACGGAGATGCTGGTCAAGAAATTTTGGAGTTGATAGAGAAGAATCCCACCGTCACCATTCCTGTGGTGGTTCAACGGTTGCGACAAAAGGACATTGAATGGCGTCGCGTCCGAGACCGCATGAATCGCCAATGGAAGGAACTGGCCGAAGAAAACTACTTCAAGAGTTTGGATCACCGCAGTCTCACTTGGAGAACTACGGACAAGCGTGTCATTAGTACACGAACTCTGGTGGCAGAAATTAAGGATCGTTCCCTACATAAAGGCAAGGAAGGTGAATCTTCGCTTCAAGCTCGCATGGACAAGGCCAAGGAAGAGCATGGAACCTTCTATCAAGTTACCATGAAGCATTCCCTCGCTAGAGATTTGGATTTGACCTCGTTGCCCAAGGCCGATCGCCGTTTGTTCACTCCGCACATGAGTCTGATGGGAACAAATGACTCTTCTGTTCATATGGATGCATACCGAATTATTTCCTTTGCGGTCGAGCGCGGTGCCATTAACCCTACGGACAAGGAGCGCATTCATCGATTGTGGATTGAATTCCTGGGACCATGGTTCAAGCTCAGTACCAATCAGATGCTGATGCCAGCGGCGGCATATCAAGAATCCAGTAAGAAGGACTTTGCTAAGAAGATGACAAAGATTGTCAGCGAGGATGGGGATACTGGTGACGAGGAGAGCCTCGATGGAGAGACCAATGTCCGTGTTGTTACCGAAGATGCGGTTATGGAAGACCAGAAGAATGCTTCTGTTTTCTTGGACCACCATCCACTTCCAAGCGGAGCACTCGTATCCACTTTGTTTGGGGAAGGCCAAGTGATCAAGTTCCGACGATCTGACAACACCTACATTGTCCGTCTTCCATTTGGAAAGGCTTACCTTGCTCCAAGCGGAATTCTCTGCTCCATTCTTGGCCCAGAGAAGTCAGCCTACACGACCCAGCTACGTGAGAAGGATACTTCGAAGTTGTTGCGACCGGATGACCAATTTGCCATTGGAACACAAAGTCTATACCTTTTCTTCCGTCTCTTTCAGATTCTTGTGGAACGCCTCGAAATCGCTAGGGAATTGGCTTACAACGCCAAGCGGGATCAGACATTACAATCAATGGTTGAGAAGATGGAAGGGCACGACGAAGCTGCTTTGGGGAAAAAGCGCTACGATGCCTTCTTGAGCTTGGTATTTGGTCTTCTCGACGGAAACTTTGGCGGAACTCCTGCGACAAGCGGAAAGTACGAAGACAGAATCAGGATGTTGCTCGGGCATGGGGGTTATGCCATGGCCACAATGGACAAGCTCATCTCGCACATTTTGAAGAACATGCAATCTATGGTCAATGATGACGCAATGTGGAACTTGGTTCAACTATACCGGCGTCACTTGGAAGGTGGCGACTTCAAGCCAGAAGCCTTCCGTCAAGAAGCTGCCTTCCTATCCGATGGAGAAGTCATGTTTGCATTCCAAAAGTGCCCTATTCCGAAGAATGGAGGCAAAAAATGCGTCTTGTACATTGAGCATCTGGGCGTGATTTCGGAGTCGGACGAGGAAGGGGGATCTGTTGTGGAGAACACCGAAGCGTCTCCTGCTAACAAGAGACCAAGGAGGGATCGATAAACTGCTGGATTGTGCTACCAGTTTTTTTTCTTTCCCTCGGCTGCGTGATTTTAAATGTAGCATGTTGATGTAAATTCGATTTCAGTACTGTAATAAACCTTTAGATGATAAGATGTTTTCATTACTTTCAAGCTGAACCGTTATACGTGCAAGACGATAATGTGGTTTCTCAGATGGCTATGTATGCTGTTCTGTTGCCATGTTGTTTCTGTTTCGACTTCCAAATCCAAATAATAAAATGATTCATCTCTACGCATATTTTTGAAATTGATTTTACTAGAGCATTGCCTGCAGTTTTCCACTCGAGTAGGCACCGTGGGTATCATCATTTCCTCCCAAGAAGGACCCCTTCACCCAAACACTAGGAACAGTTCGTTGGCCAGTCATGGAAGTCAGCGTGCTTTGGATGGCACCACCATCGCTCACTTGATCGAGCTCGATGGCCTTGACCTTGAGGCCTTGAAATTCTGGCTTGGCAAACAATTGCTTGGTCTTGATGCAGTAAGGGCAGTAAGACTTGGAAAATACGACAACCTGTAGGCACCAAAAGAAGAAAAACGTTAGAAACAAAAGTCGAACTGTCAAGAACTCTGACAAACTCTCCACGTTTTCAACGGACAAAATTCAGCGTTTCGTTGCACCTTGCCAAAGAGAGACTTACGTCGTTTTGTTGGACCTCGCTTTCTACAAACTGTTTCATTTCTGGACTACTACTTGCGCTTCCCATTGCTTTCGTGAGAATAATGATGACAAGCGCTGACTGACTGGAAACACAAATTCCTGCCCAAGAGGCCTTTTTTCAAAAGCGCGACTCACGCGTGATGCGGACGGAGGGACAAACGAGACTGAATGACGTGGCCCACGTACTTGAACCTCTCAGAAACTCATGGAAGCAACGACCAATCTGAGAAACGGCGGAAGGAAAGATCTCGATCAGAGGTAAAAGAGTAGATAGATGAATTGTTTTAAAAGTTCATGCCAAAGTGTTTGTTTATTTGGTTAAGAATAATAGTTGCGGCAGCCGCTGCAGCACCACAGTTAGCATCGTACATGAATTTGGAGTAGAAATACAAGATCGCTCCGCATTCGAGGAATTTGGCGGAATTTTAATAGACACACAGATGAAATATACTGGAAAGAAACCCTGACCCCGATCACGTTTACCAAGCACGGTCCAACATGAATCCTGGGCCGTCTCCTCCTAGTACGGCATCTGCTGGTCCTCGGCCATCGCCGATTTGGTCAGCCTCGACCAAAGCGGTCAATGGGAATTCCATTGTGGCGGTGTTGACAATACGGACAACGTTTCCGGATCCTGGTGTCTCGATGATGGCAATGTAAGGTCTGTCCATACCGTCTTCAGTGTACAATTCCATAACTTGCTTGATGTTGTTAGGACCTTGTAGCAACTCAATACGGGAGTTCAATGGACGTCCATCAGTCATGAGGACAATACGAACACTCTCGACATTGGGGTCGAAGGGGTAGGTTCGAAGGGCTCCTCCCTGAATGGTTCTAGGTTGCGTGACGGCTCCGGCCATGGGTGATTCGCGGTTGCGGACTTCAGCGGCAACGACACCAGCGACCAAGGGGAATTCCATGTTGGCGGTGTTACGGATAGAAACCGTGTTGGGTCCACGGGGAGTCTCGATAACGCAGTTGAACGAACGTTGGGCACCATCCTCGACGTAAACACGCATCTTGTAAGGGGTGTTATCAGGACCTTGCCAGAGCTCAAGGTTTGCATCCAAAGGACGTCCCTCGGTCTTCATGACAACTTGGACACGCTCGACGGCAGCAGTTGGGAAAGACCAGGTCTTAAGAGATCCACCTTGGACCAAGACTGGGTTAGACTTGTCCCAGACGGCAGCAGATTGAGGGTGGCTGTTTCCAGAACGGGCAATTTGCTGTGTGACTGGATTTTGGGCACCCTGTTAAAATAAAAGCACAAGAGATAAAGGATTAGCATACCATCTTTCAGATAGAGGATAGTCAAAAGGCGAGACTAGGAAACTTACTGGAGGAGCAGTCATGCGGCCTGGTCCAGCGGAGGCGAAAAGAGCTGTGTCAACTCCAGCAGGAGAGACAGGAGCGAAGGCGGAGGCTCCAGCAGCGAGGGCCAAAAGTGCAGTTGCGACGAATTTCATTTTGTTGTTGTATTAGTTTGTGTTGTGAGAGACTGAAGTAACTGTGTGATCGGATGAAAAGCAGCGATTGCTTGTTGCCGATGAATTTTGTGAACAGATGGTGTCAGTGCCCCAAGTACCAACTTTTTACACACGATTTACACGACGAAAAAATCGTCGTGTTCAAGTGGTGACGTGGTGACGTAGGCCCATTTTGGACCGACGGTCTCTGATGTCAGAGGTTATTCGTTAAGTGAAGAGTTCGATGACGGAGAAGTGACTGTTTAACAAAAGATAGTACGTCACTCAACTCGAATTATTGAACGAATGTCACACCCAACGGAACAGTCGTGGACTTTGTACGACGATTTACGTACGTTCTTTGGACTTTGGTCGGGCCAATCAAACATGGGATCGAGAATCGCCAACCAAAGGGGGTGGCTATAAAAATAAGCGCATAACAACAACAGTATTTTGGCGGACTGGTGGAAGGAAACCATGAAGCGTCGCTCAACAGATGGCCATGGTCTGAGGAACAAGGTGATTGGTGTTTGTGTTGTTGCACTCTAAAGAAAACTCGCCAAAACAGAAATACTAAATCGCTGATTTTACGGGGATATCTTCTAATGTTTCCTAGTCATCCCCCTCTTTAGTCAAATTATTCAAAAGATACGAGTGGCTGGCATCAGAGCTGACCAATGACGTACTAGGTTTCAATTTTTCTGGTGACAGACTTGATCGGACGACAAACCAATTTGATCGGAATGTGGCTTCGGGAAAGATGAACTACAACGTTTTCAGTATGATGTGATGTGAAGAATAGTAGAAAGGCAGGAAGAAAACAGATTACAACGTGTGAAGGGAAAACTAATCTTTACATTGGCCATTCAGAAGATCTGTTGCGATTCGTGTAGAATTTGATAGCATACAGACCCCCCCTTGGTGTAGCACTTATTTCTCGTATCAAATCGGGCCATATCGTTTAGTTCTTCTTGAATTTTTTGTTTATGGTTCGGAATGTAGGAAATATAAAGGGATCAATTTAGATCAATTTACCAGGCACGGTCCAACATGAATCCTGGACCGTCTCCTCCAAGGACAGCTTCAGCTGCTCCTCCCATACCATCTCCGATCATATCGGCTTCGACCAAAGCCGTCAATGGGAATTCCATAGTGGCAGTATTGACAACACGAACAACATTTCCGGATCCTGGAGTCTCGATGATGGCAATGTACGGTCTGTCCATACCGTCTTCAGTGTACAATTCCATAACTTGCTTGATATTGTTAGGACCTTGCAACAATTCGATACGGGAGTTCAATGGACGTCCATCAGTTTGAAGGACAATTCTGACACTCTCGACATTGGGGTCGAAGGGGTACGTTCTGAGGGCTCCTCCCTGAATGGTTCTGGGAGTAGACTTGGCACCGGCCATTGGGGAGATTCGTTCGCGGACTTCCGATGGGACAACTCCAGCAACAAGAGGGAATTCAAGGTTGGCAGTGTTACGGATGGCAACAGTGTTGGGTCCACGAGGGGTCTCGATAACACAGTTGAAAGAACGTTGGGCACCATCCTCGACGTAAACACGCATCTTGTAAGGGGTGTTATCAGGACCTTGCCACAATTCAAGGTTGGCATCCAAAGGACGTCCCTCGGTCTTCATGACAACTTGGACACGTTCGACAGCGGGGGAAGCGAAAGACCAAGTCTTAAGGGATCCACCCTGTACAAGGACTGGTTGAGAAGCATCCCAGACAGCAGCAGATTGAGGGTGGCTGTTTCCAGAACGGGCAATTTGTTGCGTGACAGGGTTTCCACGGGCCTTTAGATTTTAACGACGAGTTACGCAAAGAGGCAAAGGAGAAAGACGTGAGTAAATATGAATGGGCATGTCATCGAAAGCCCAAAGTTTGTAGGAGCAAACTCTGGGAACTCCATCATTCGACCAATTTTGATAAACGTACGAGTCCTGGTGGGGCGGTTCCGGGACCTGGTGGTGGTGGTGCCGAGAAAAGAGCAGAGCTCTTGGGTCCAGAGGTAGCTGGAGTGAAAGCAGCAGTGCTAGCGGCAAGGGCAAGAAGGGTAGTTCCAAAGAATTTCATGATACTTGACAACTAACTGTATTTGTTGATGGGTTGAGCTTTGTGCGGATCTGGACAGTTGAATTCGTGGAGACGAATCCATCACAAAAAAAGCCCCAAATGGAAGTACCTACGACGTGCGCATGTCAATCTTCTACCTAAATATCACGTAGAATAGTTTTTAAAATTCACATTCGTCATCGTTTTCAAATATCGTCATTCTTCGTAGCGTCTCGCTGCTGTCCGGGAGGTGGCGCTTCGTCGAAAATTATAGCACTTTGGTCGAAAATAATGGCAACTGTGTGATTGGACACCTGCCTGATCCAATATTGACACCTTTATTCCAATTATTTTGAATTTGCAGTCTCCTCACGACTGCCTCATATATTCTTTCAAGCATTGCTCCAAGGTGGCATCAAGTTGAGCCCCTGAATTGGTCTAATGAATTAGAAATCTAAACGCTACAGAGGAACATCTGTCGGGTCGTCAACATCTTTGGTGGTAATACACGTATCCTCGAATCATGCAGTCGAATCGTAAGAAACTAAAATATTTATATTATGACATGTTGATACTTAGCTGCCTGGTGAGACCTCTCTCAGATACCAGCCCTCCCTTGCGTGGGCCTATACATTAATGAAAACACTCCACATGAAACAGTTGCAAACAGTGGATTCATTCATAGCTTGCAAATATGAATTCAGAGACAGCAGACACACATGGTAACAACGGTGGGCAATGTCCCTACATTGTCAGCGGTGTAACCAAGCTGCGTCCTAATCTTCTAGATGGTGAAGCTCTCTTTCCTCTATTGAGGTAAAGAAATCGCTTACATGCCTCCCAAAAGGACACCATCGCTCCAGTATCGGCCATCACCAATTTCGAAAGCTTCAACAGCGGCAGTCATGGGGAATTCCATACTGGCAGTGTTAACAACACGGACAACGTTTCCAGTTCCTGGAGTCTCAACGACAGCATAGAAAGGACGCTCCATACCATCTTCAGTGTAGACTTCCATAACCTGCTTGATGTTGTTAGGACCTTGAAGCAACTCGATGCGAGCGTTCAGAGGACGTCCATCAGTGGTCAACAAAACTTGAACACTCTCAACACTGGGGTTAAAGGGGTAGGTTCTGAGGGCTCCTCCCTGGATGGTGCTGGGGCGCTCAGAAACTTGACGATCACCAAGAGGTGGTCCTCCGCGAACATCCTCTGAAACAACACCAGCAACCAGGGGGAACTCTAATTGAGCAGTGTTACGGATGGAGATGGTGTTTTGTTCGTCACGAGGAGTTTCAATGACGGCGCTGAAGGTACGGGCCATACCATCTTCGACGTAAACACGCATCTTGTATGGGGTATTGTCGGGTCCCTGCCACAATTCAAGGTTGGCATCCAAAGGACGGCCATCGGTTCTCATGACAATTTGGACGCGTTCTACGAATGGAGAAGGGAAAGACCAGGTCTTCAAAGATCCTCCTTGGACGGTAATTGGTTGAGACATGTCCCAGATTTGTTCAGTTGGGACACCGGCAGCACGAACCAAACCAGGGGCGGCCATAGTACGTCCAGCGACAGGCTGTTTGTTGCAATTGATTCAGATCGACAAAATAGCAGAGAAAAAGAGAGAATAAAAGACAAAAGAGAGCATGAGAAACAGACTTCCAACATTTCAACAACCAGATGGCTTGCATCATCTCAATGCATCTATCTACATCCACGTACAGCAACTCCCGCTCCAGAGGCTCCAGTTCCCGCAATTGGGGTCATAGAGAACAAAGCAGTTTCAGAGGTCCTTGGGACGGCAGCAGGTTGAAAGGCAGCTGCGCCCGAGAAGGCGAGGGCAAGGATGGAGGCTCCAAACTTCATTTTTAGTTGTTGTTGTGTGTTGGTTGTTTTATGATCAGACTGTCGGTGGGTGCTTCCATTTCAGTTCAACACAAAGATAAATCGCAACTTTCTGCTTCCACTACTAATTTCGCTGTAGAGCCCACGTACGTCAGGTACGGTGACAAACGTTTGTCGACGTGTTGTGTGACGTCAGGTATTTTGTTTTACGGGACGTACAAACACATAATGGTGTTCGGCGACATTGCCATCTGCTCCTTATCGCCACAAATTGTTCTGCGAAGTCCTTAAGTACGAATTTGACCACGTCAGAGCTGAGACAAAGATCAAAACTGCCTTTTACTTTGTCACATAAAACCAGATTGAACCAACAAAGCGTGGGGGTCTTTGCAATTCACAACACTTGTGCAAGCTTTGCTTTTAGTATCTCGAGGAAACGAAGCTAGGAATCAACAAATGTACAAGACGAAGTGGCAGGCACTAGAACACTGGCGGTACTCGGAGTTTTGACACCAAGTGGCTGCAAAGAAGCAGATGATGTTTGTATGAGTCAGTCAGAGGAAGATCAAGTAAAAATTCTGGAAAATTTCATGATGATTGTTCAAAATGCCATCTGCGGTTCCCGTTGATGCGGAATAGAGAGACTTCAGCTGGGACTTTGTAACTTACTCAAACGACAATTTTCAAGCAATGAGGGAAGGGGAAGCGTTTTCTTCTATCAATGATGGGTAGTTTGAAGAATCTGCGATTGGCGGTTATTATGGACAAGTGCCAGGATGATTTCTTTTCATACAATTGTCAGACGAACATCGGGTGTGGCTATGAGCCACAAAAATTACTGGACAATCAACTCGATGAACAAGGGACATCATTATGCAGCAGCTTATTTGATCTTCATGCCTTAATGGGAAGGGTTTGCTTAGCTGGAAGGATTCTGGTAGGCAACAAGGATTGGTAGTTTGAAAAATCTGCGATTGGCGGTTATGATGGGCAAATGCTAGGATGTTTTTTCCATATCATTGTCATTCGAACATCGGATGTCGCTCTAAGTGGCTGGAGAATACTTGACAATCAACTCGAAGAACAATGACATCACTATGCAGTTTTAGTTGATCTTCGTCCCCTAATGAGAAGGGTTGGGGATTGGTAATTTGAAGAATCTGCGATTTGCGGTTACAAATAGAATGATTTCTTTCCAGAAAATTGTTGGACGAACAACAGATGTCGCGACAAATGAAGGATACTTGACAACCAGCTCGAAAACCAAGAACACCACTGTGCAGTTTATTTTACTTGAGCAACAGATGCCGCTACAAGTGAAGGATACTTGACAACCAGCTCGAAAACCAAGAACACCAATGTACAGTTTATTTTATTTGAGCGGTTCTGAACTCTCCATATTTGGGTTTGTCACGATGATTCATCGATGACCTTTGAACTACCGGTACAAAAACAATGTCAGATGATTGGCACCCACGCGGACGGCATCTTGAACCCCTTTTGCCTGTTGAACTGTCATTCACTTCTGCATCCTGGGCGAATAGATTGGGACAAGGGTTGATTGGGAATACAGCACGTATTTATCGTCGCAACACATTTTGTTGAATAAATCGGTCGAAGTAAGCTTGAAGCGGTAGTAGGTCCTTTTAAGATTTAGAAAATAACGATCAATTGACGAATCGCAAATGCATTTCAAGATAACAGAGAGTAAGGGAAGGACTTTATCTTCGCCCGGAAGATCCCAATAGGAAACGATGATTGGCAATCTGTAAAATCCGCAAGAGCAAGTGCAACGATTGCTTTCCACAATTCTCGGATAAACACGTCATGTCGCTTTAGATGGATAATACTTGACAATCAGCTTGAAAAACAAGGACATCAAAGTTGAACTTCATATCCCTACGGTATTTAAAAATATACTCGGGCTCTAAATCCGCTACATTGGGCTCTCCAGCAGGAAAGTTGATCCAATCCCTTTCAAATACAAAAACAATGTCAGATGATTGGCACCCGCCGGACGGCATCTTGAACCCCTTGTACCTGTTGAACTTTCATTCACTTCTATATCGGCTGTGAGAAGATTGGGAATACAGCATGTTCTTATCGTCTCCACGCATTTTGTTGAATGAATCGGTTGAATGATCAAGCTTGATGGAGTAGTAGTAGGTGCTTTCAACATGTATGGAGGGACGACCACTTGACGAATCGCAAATACATTTCATCTTGACTCATCCTTTGGTGGAGAATATCTTGTGTATGGTCGCTATGTTCGTTGAACTCATCCTTTTTTTACGTCGTCAGCTGGTTGATTGAGTTCTTTGCAGGACCAGGGCACGTTTCACATTCATTGATTGGGATAACACAATCACAGTTGTCTGTCACGATTGTTGTAGAAACTATACGAAAAGATACAGATGAGAATATAATCTAATGTCATCAGACCTATATATTGCGACCTGGTCAAAGTCTTATATCTGTATCCAGATTTGTACATTATTTACGCCATGTCTGGGTCAATTTCGAATGGCTCCACCATTGCGGTCAATGGAAATTCCATGCTAGCAGTGTTGACCACACGGACAACGTTTCCGACTCCTGGGGTGTCAATAAGAGAGAAGAAAGGACGATCCAAACCATCCTCTGTGTAAACTTCCATGACTTGCTTGATGTTGTTGGGACCCTGTAACAATTCGATACGAGCATTCAAGGGTCGGCCATCGGTTGTCAACATGACTTGGACGGTGACAACTTCACCCTCGAAAGCGTAAGTTCGAAGGGCTCCTCCCTGGATTGTTCTAGAAACGCCATCGGCGAACTCTGGTCGGGAAGCAGGGCCAAGGGGTTCGACTGCTGCATACATGGGGAATTCCATGTGAGCAATGTTCTTTACGCAAAGAGTGTTTCCTCCAAATGGAGTTTCAACAACCACGCTAAAGTCACGTCGCTTTCCGTCCTCAACGTAGCATCTAATCTTGTTCGGAGTGTTGTCTGGTCCTTGCCAAATTTCAATTTCGGATTGCAAAGGACGTTCATCAGTCTTCAAGTTGATTCGAACTCTCTCGGTTCTTTTTGATGGGAAGGACCATGTCTTCAGTGATTCTCCTTGTAGCTCAACGAATTTGACCGGTGGCGATTGAGGTGGTGGTGGGCTTGCTAGACCTGCGCCCTCAGGGACTGGTGGAGCCATGCCCGCTGTTCGAGCTCCAGCTGCGAAAGCAGTGTCACCACCTGCAGCCGAAGAACCAAGTCCACCCAAATACGAAGAGGAAGCGGGCAAAGCAGTTCCGGATGTTCGTTGTTGTTGAACATGGAATGCGGCTGCATTTCCAACGCAAAGGAGAGGGATCAAGCTGCTAACAATCTTCATGGTCAAAGGATATGCCACTGAAACATCAAACGCACCAAAACTCTGAATTTTCGTGAATGACGATTGGGTAAAAAGTGATAGTCAAAGTGATCGGACAATTTACTTATGGATGGCCGTTTCAAATTGATGGGATTTGTCCAATCATACGCACGCAATTCGCTGACCACACACCTTTAAAAACATGAGTTTTGAAATAGTTCGCACGCCGGCAACCCTCAACCATCGATTTTCCCACCTCTTGTTCTTTGTGCGCAAACGCGCGATGAGCAAATGGATCCTACCCCTCATAGTGGTATTATTCGAAGGTAGATCTTGCCTCCGACCTACAAGAAATCATCGAGCTTTGTCAAGGGGCGAAAACGGTTAGTGCTGGTGGGCCGTGATTTTAAAATAATGGTGTGTTTAATTGTTAACATAGAGAGACAAGGGTGCTGTGTAGGAGTGCTGTTATGAAAAGAAAGCAATCGCCGCGAAGCAGGTACACGTGTACGTCTTGCTCGATTACTTGCTTCTTTCTATGATGTTTTTACCAGGGGTTGAATCCAGGTCCGCTTCCGCCCATGACGGCCTCTGCCGATGAAGCAATATCTTGAATCAAGAAGGGTTCGGCTTGGCACACCAATGGGAATTCCATAGTGGCGGTGTTGACAATACGAACAACATTTCCAGATCCTGGGGTCTCAAGGATAGTGACGAAAGGACGATCCATACCATCTTCTGTGTACAGTTCCATGACTTGCTTGATATTGTTAGGACCTTGCAACAGCTCGATACGGGAGTTCAACGGACGCCCATCCGTTTGAAGGACAACCTTGACACTATCGACGTTTGGTTCGAAGGGGTATGTGCGGAGAGCTCCTCCCTGGATTGTTCTTGGAGTTGCGTTGGACTCTAGACCGACACCATCAATAGGGGCCACACCAGCATATAGAGGGAATTCCATATGGGCTGTGTTGCGGATGCAGACAGTGTTTGGGCCTCTTGGGGTCTCGATGATACAGTTGAATGTTCTCATCTTACCATCCTCAACATAGACGCGCATCTTTTGAGGGGTATTGTCGGGTCCTTGCCACAACTCAAGGTCGGTATCCAAAGGACGGCCTTCTGTCTTCATGATGACTTGGACTCGTTCGACGGCGGCCGAAGTAAACGACCAGGTACGAAGGGATTCACCTTGAATCACAACCGGTGTGGTCTGATCTCCAGCCTTGACCTTACCAGGAGTAGCTAGACCGGCAGACTAAGAGTTGGAAGAGGAAAAGGTTAGGATGTTGTTTGTATATGAGTGCTTCTCTTTGGCTCATTACTGACGTACCCGGGCAATTGGCTCGGGGCCACCAGTGGCTGGAGGAGCGGAGTTGAGTTGGGAGAAACGGGCTCCTGGAGTCTGCAACTGAAAGGCAGATGCTGTAGCGACAAGGCTAAGTGTGAAAAGGGGTGCTGTAATCTTCATGGTTATCAAGGTATATCGAGATCAAATGCTTCTTTATTGGCAGTTGCAATTGGATTCTATTCTGCGGAAATTGATGGGTGATGGGTGATGGGTCGCGGAGACTGGATGTCAAGATGTTCGGCTTCAACTGCAACTGCGTGCGTACCCCCCTCCACGTAAATTTAGTACTGAGATAGCGTAGAATGCGTTCTGATTTCTCGATTTAACGCAAGTTCTCTTTTTCGTGCGTATTTTTGAGTCAGTTGGCGAGATGAAATCCCAAGATAACAGATCCAAACTGCCGGGTATGTCATTCTGATGCCATCGGAATTTTTGGAAGAGCCAGATCTCTACAGTAGGTACTCAATAAGATGTACACGTGTACTTTGGCGCTGAGTTTTTATGGTGGTTGGATTTGGATTGACTAATCTAGCTTTGAATTCATTCCTACACAACCAATGCGATGATAGTGAGGATTTGAATCAGTCGTCTATTCATCCACATCAATTTCATGAGATGATGGGAACTCGAAAAAAGAAGTCGTGTGT